GTTGACATCGGTTGTCGTCGCTGTGTGTTGCAAGTTCTTGGCGATGGCTATCTCCTTGCAGCTGCTGATGTGCCGCTGTTTCGAAAATCGATGAGCGCGTTTGGTTGTCGTAGTATGTTGGTCTCGTTGGCGACAGGCTTCAGTGGCACTAGTGGTGGAGGTGACGATGGTGATGGCGATGGTGATGGTGATAGTTGCGGTGATGGCGGTGTCCTCCGGCTTCCGTTTTCGAAACAGGGTCATTGCCGTCACGACATGCGTTTGGGCTTCTGGGGCAGGCGAAGCCCAGGAGAAGCCTTGCTCAAGCTTGCATCACGCCCGAAGCATGGCCCGCTGCTCCTTGCCCGCCGGTGATGGCAGGTCAAGGACAGCAGCGGCTCCCAAGAAGTCTTCCTGGAGAAGGCGACAGTTGTCGTGGTAGACGGAACGTATTTCCAGGCACTGTAGGCCCGGTGTTTTCTACCGGTATTCGCCACTTCGGTGTCAGGCTCAGTCCATTCACTTCGACTCCTTCGTCTGTGTCGACCTGCTGCCCATGTGCCTCAGCTGATTCGTGCGCAGAACAGTGCGACCTCAACCGAAATAGAGTAAAAGGGTACACAATGTCAACAGAAACAGCCGCCAGACTAATTGAGTTTATCTAGTCGTGGTGCCCAATATGGTCGCAACATCTCGAAATGAACCTTGCCAAGACAAAGTGTAGTGTGTCTTTGGTTTCTTGGCTCTTCCGGCATTTGAACAACGGGAGTTGCTGTTTGGATCTGGAGGTTAGAGCGAAGTACTGGCAGTGCGGGTGAAGCACTGGCAGCGAGAAGTGGTGCTGCCCTAACGGAAGGAGGAATAAGTGCACTTACGATAGATATGTTTATCCGAGTGGTTTTTCGGCAATCCAGAGGGAGTTCAGTCAGGCGGCCTGTGAGGAGCTCACACCTGATATCTTCCGACTTGCATGCCTTGAACCCCCAATCAAATCCCAACTCTTCCCTCTTCCGACAAGAGGCACTTGCTTGCCTCCTCTGTGCAGCCCTGACTTCGCGTGAGGCTAGTTCGGATTCTGCGACAGTCGCCCGAGCCCTTCGAGGCCTGGGTTTCTTTGATCTCCAGCTCGCTTGACAGGGGTGATTTTCGCAGTGCGTTGGCCTCAGTGATATGAGACATGGAATGCTTTTGTTTTGGAAACTGGCTGGTCCTGCAACTTCAAGAGGGTTCCTTCGTGGTTGGGCCGGGCACTGGTTGCTTGTGGGATAGGGTACACTCAGGTTTGGCTGTGTGCATAGCTACTTCAACCTTCAAGAGGGGGCTTGTTAAGGAAGTTTATCTCATGCATGCCATCCTTCATCCGGAGGTCACATGCAAGCTCTCATTTCAAATCAAATTTAGTCTTTGATGTGGAGGCATTGGCTGTGTGCTTCCTCCTGAGCTCGGTGAGCACTTCGCCGAACCCTCAAGCCCTCATTGTGGCGACGGGTTTAGAATCGAGGCTGCCGCTGAAGGTGTGAAAGCTTTCTTGTAGGAATTAGGGTGTTGTCTGATGACTCCGCAGAGGTTCGTGTTCCGCGTTATTGTTGGTAGTCTCGTGGATTTCCGCGGCTGCGCCACAATTCGTTTCGCTGAGCTCCCAGGCCAACCCGAACTTTCCGCATCACTCAGGCCTTGCCTACCTCCGCACATGCCGGATGTTCTTCGAATCTCGGAGCAGGGCGCTCAGCTCATTCGAGCCGAAGCGAGAACGCGCGAAGCCGTGGAGGCATCCGCAGGTCATGGATTGAACTCCTGGACTAATTTGGTCATGAGTGCCGCATGAGAGCAGCCCAGCGCGGCATCGAGGAGACGTGAATAGGAATTGTTCATGCCCGTGACTTCCCGAGAGTCTTCTCGGTGAAGCAACTCTGACATCTGCGCCGGACGATCGAGAATCCATGCGTCCCAGGAAAGCTTTCCCCTCGCTGCTATCAGCAGAGGCGCGATCTTTCGCAGTGGAATAGTCTTGCCAGACGCAGCATTTGCAGGCACGAGCGTCAGGAGGTCAAGCTCAAGGGCTGGAGTTCGAAATGGAGCAGCAAAAGCCCGAGGACCTTACCAGACCAGATGCATTGCCGAAGCAGGATGGCTTGTGGAAGTCCGGTAGGGTATCGGTTAGGAAGCTAGGCCAGTGACTGGCGGTTGTCACACTGCAACCGTTTGCCTCCCAAGCTTTGGGCATGCTAAAGCTAAAGCACATCAAAGCCCTGAGTGAGGACACCACCTGGAAGCATCTGAAGATACCTCAGCTCAGCCGCCATGGGCCCAAAAACCTTCCGAAAAACTGGGACGGCTATTTGCAGGTTGCTGTCGTGCGATTTGCTTGGATTTGTTGCCAGGTATCACGTCTAGGTCGACCCCGGGACATGAGATCTGCATGCAATTGCACTCATCCACAAAGATAGCCAGACCACCGGCACTGCCACCGCAGCGGCACAGAGTTGCCAAACCGAGCCGATTCCACAACAGGATCAACCTGGGCTTGTGTTTGGTTTAGGGATAGGGTTTAGGGTTAATATTACGGCCAGAGCATTCAACAATTGCAAGCCCAAGAGGTGGGTGATGATCCCCGAGCATCCACCCGAAGCAGTTGAGAAATGGCCCAAACCTTCAAGGAGTCCTCAGAAAAGGGCCCCAATACGGAATTCCAGGGCCCTTCTGAGAGTCTGTTTCTCGAGGCATCGAAGCCGGAATCCGCCGCTGCTTCATCCACCTCTTGTCTCGGGCAGCCCATGTGCCGAGGGCTTGGCACGGGTTGGGGAAAGTTGAAAGCAGTGACTCTGGCTCTGTCTGCTTCAGCCTGGTACCGATGAGGGGCTTTCCACATGCCGGTGCATCAAAGCTTGAACCAAGGCCGAAGGGAAATGCATGTGTCCAGACCCCAGTGCTGTCGCAAAGTACCGTATCGCTCAGCGACCGACGGTTGCCGTGCCGAGTTGCTGAACAGCCACGCGGCATGGCACTTCTTGACGAGCCTTGCGTCGGAGTCCGGGCCCCAAGAAGCCGACCAAGCGGTCGAATTCCAGACTCGTCCTGGCTCCTCCCGAATTCTGGGCCGGTGAGTTCAGCCTACCACTCAAATCCCAGCTTCCCTGCGCCCAGTCCCGACCTCTACGGTGATCCGGGGGCGTGCGTGCACGCGAAGCCCGCCTTGCCTGGTTTAATACTGCCGTTCAAGCTAGAGACACTGCTTGATGACAGGGTCTATGCCTTGGCCTTCCTCCTGCAGCGTTTTGATGACCACAAGCTCATGATCGAGCTTGGTGGGGGCCTGATATGCGATGCTCGTATACTGATTCCCACACCTCATGCCCGAATAACACTGAATGGCACCCGGTGTTAAGGTCTCATGGAACGGCTCCTAGAAACCAAGGCCGAGCCCTCAGATTTGTGCTCGGAAGCCTCCTCTGGATTGGCTCATCCAGACTCGATTGCACTTGTCAAGCCCACTGAAGCACGATGGCGAACCCCGACGCCAACTTCCCCTTTCTTGCAGCGCTTCAAGCGCTTGCCGTGACTCACTGAATCATCTATATCCGGTACAGCTGCACGCTACACGACTTGTGCCAGCAGCGAAAGTATGCGACTTGTGCATTTGCTGCCCGACTTGGACAAGCGAGAGTACTGGGTTCCTGGAGACTGCAGCATGTTCTGATGGGGACCAATGCCTGCTGTAGGAGCAAATCAAGCAAGAGATGCCACATCGCATCCAAGAGCCTGGCTCCAAGAGGGATGCATGCTACGCCTGCTACGCCTGCTAGGCCCTGCTAGGCGTGCGCAGGGAGACAAAGCCCAAAGCTCTCAATGCCAGAGGCGCGCGAAAATGCGAGTTGAGCCGAGGCCAGACCTGCCGGACCTGCGACTTCCCTGGGCCTGCACCCTCAGCTCCCTAAACCTATTGGACGTGCTTTTAGGGTGTCTGAAGATGTCTGAAGTTCAGTTCTGCACAGCTGCTCAAGCTTTCTTCCTAATACCGAAAATTCAAGAGTCAAGAGCTTGCGACTGAGATCCACTGCGTCATCAGCTTGGTCCTCCTCTCAGGCTGGGGCAGCGTGGTTACGGCCTGGATTAGAAGGAAAGTTGGGATGATCATTATTGGCCGCTCATCTACCCAACCATCCACCCCTCCACCCATCCATCGTCCGTCCCTTCTCCCCTTCTGCCATCCATCTCTCCACCCACGCAATCTCTGTTCGCGTGTCCAACCAAAGACCCAAAATCATCTCCGAGTGTCTGCCTATCCGAGTCTATCTGTCATTTGTCGATCTCTGGACATTGCGGAGTTGCATGGCCGGCCCGCGGACAGGTCCCAAACTCTTCGCCGGAGCGAGCCCCAGTCTTCTGAAGCTTCTGCAGAAGAGTGTTCACGTGTCATGTTTCACAGTGCTTCGGTCTTCGCACGGGAGTATCCTGAAGATGCGCCTCTTCTCCATTGAGGCAGCAAGGGCCGCGAGTATGAGCAGCTTGTCGCTGGTGCGCTCGACTTCGCCAATGACCTGCAGTTTGAAGGCAGATCCGAGCCTTGTTTCGAGCATCTTGGAACTTCGCAGCGGGGCCCCGGATCCCCCAACCAGGATACTGGAACTCGCATGACCACTAGATCCAAGCTGCCATCCCCCAGATGGATACGGGGCATGTCAGGAATTTGTCAGGATGCACAACACTCGCACGTAAAGACCAGTCTGCAAGCATTCCTATCGAGATCGGAATTCGCGGAACTAGCCGTCTCGTTCGATTTGGTTCCTGACCTGTGAGGCAGAAGCAAGATCCAGCGGGAGATGCCTGGCCTGGCAGGGATCTTACGGAGTGCCGGCGCAAGAACCCGTAGGGCTTAGGCCTAGGCCTGGCCAGCGGCTTTATGCTGGAATCCAGAGTTTGGTTTTTCACATAAGCCATTCTTCGTGAATGTACTTGCAAGTGCCCCGACTTTCCCTGCTTCGTTGCTGTCGCGAGCTCGAAACAATCGCGGATGATGTCGACTCAAGGTGCCCAAGCTTTTACGTTGTCAACAGTCCCCGATTCTGATGCATGTCGCGGCGAACCTCAATCCAAGCAAGCTGCTGAGGCGTTGGACCTCGAGTGCCAGCAGGTGGGAGAGCGTGTGTGTGTGCCTTCGATGTAGTGCCCCTGCATAGGCTCTTGTCCGTGCCGTTGTCTCAGGACAGACTAGCACATCGGGAATTGTCGTTCAATCGATCTAACCCAGGTTAAAAGCCACGCCGTGGATCCCTTGTTCCAGTTCTTTCTCTAGCCGACTCTAGCCCCTTCAACCATTGCTTGTCTCGCAGTGGTAGGGTGGATTCAGTCAGCCTTCTGATGCGCTTCGCCTGTGGGCGCTCCTCTCACTTTCGCTACTCATCAGGCACTGGGAGCTGCAGTGAACTCAGAAAAACTCTCGTAGTTTGGGCTGAGCTACCGATCGGTCAGGGGTGACCTTGTTCCGTTGTGGTGCCAACATTTTTGGAAGGGTAGAAGATGCGGCTTTCTTGTGAGCCCAGCACAGCTATAAATGGGTGCTGAGCAGTCCCGACCCGAGGCCCTGGCACCATTCAGCACGAAAGTCACCCACTTCGCGAGTCTGAAGCCGAAGCCACTCGTCGATGCTTGGGCTGTCTACGACTGATATGCGGCTGTGCGCTTTGTCATCCAAATTGGTTGCTTGTCAAGAAGCGCAGCCATGCTCTGCCTCTGAATTCCAAGCTGCGATTCCAATCGCCTCAGACTCTGCTCAGCGGAGCTCAAGATGCGGTACGTAACATCGCCACGTAAGGTTCACGCTGTACTTGCTGGCGCTCATCTGCAGTGCCTGAACCTCATCTCTTCTGAAAGTCTGAGCCGGCTCCGGCTTCGGGTCTGCCGATCTTGAGGAGGTAGACACGCATCCTATCCAGTCACTGGTGACACCTCTGGATCTCCACTCAGCACAAACAGGCCTAAGAGCGATTTTGATCTTAGCCAGTGACCAGTACTCATGCAGAAGCCTGTCAATAAGCAACAACAAACATCGGCCTGCTTTTTCACGCAGAGGCATCAACAGCATTCAACAACCAAAGAGGCACCCAGTAAGGTTGCAGTCACATGGGTTTGCCAGATGGAAAATCATGCGACCATCGGGGTGCATGTCGAATTCCCAGACACCCTCATGAAGCGAGGCTGGTGCTGTGCTATGACATTGTATCTACATCATGCTTCTTCCGACGTTGAATCCCAGATTTTACCCAAAGCTACCGCTCGAATCAAATGGCACCTAACGTCGCCAAACGCCACCCAAAAGACGCTAAACTAATGCCAAACTACACCAAGCGCTTCTTATTCTCCTGGCGCATAGTATCAGACACGGACGGAGTTTGGAAAGCTTCACTCAGCTATACTTATCACCTCCGAGGCGCCGACACTCGGGCTCCGACAGCGTGCTTGTGAATTCCTCACCGAGATGCTCACGAAGGGACAGCAGCAGCAACCTCATTCCACTGTAGGATCCTGCATAGCCAGTGATCACTTCCTCCACTTCCCATGCTAGTTCCTGCAACATGCAGGCCGAAGCCTGTAATGAAATGCCGAGAGATTCACGTGCTAAGTGCGTGCCACAGTGACTTGGCAGACTGAGAACTGGTCTTTTGACTTCTAGTTGTGTTCCGTGGCCTCGGATTCCCGAAAGCCGGTAAGACTTCACAATTCGCACCGTCTCGGAAATCAGAAACCAGAGCGGAAGGTTGAAGGATCAAAGGAGAGGGGGTATGCTAGTCTCCTCACAGAGCTGATGGCTTTGGCCTCAAGGCCACACCTCGCTGGTGCGGCCTTCTTGAAAGCAAACTGCCTGAGCCCTACAATGGGCCGCGGGTTGCGAGGTGTGCAACTTGTGTCTGGAGCATCAAAAAGCCAAACGCCAGAGCTTGTCGAAGGGAGCTGCGATCCTCTTTATGTCCGTTCCGACTTGGAGACTGAGAGCGTCAATTCCTTGACCGGGCCGACCATTCGTGGAGTTTTGACTCGGCAGTGTTTCTATCGCAGGCTGAGAGGAAAGAGGAACTTCTGAGGAGCCCGGAAGCAACGCCCTGCACTGCCCTGCACTCTGTACTCAGGCTTGGAGAGCTTCCGACGGATTTTGACAGGGCCGCTGGATGTGCTGATCTCAGCAGGGCCGGGGCGGCCCGGGCTTTGCCCTGAAGGTGTTGGACGGGTGGTTAGAGAGTTCGGGCAATCACGGCCCGGAGGTGAGCTTTTGGTCGTCCTGACCCCTCCTGCATGCACAGCCAAGTTTAAGCTGATCCGAAGCCAAGGAGCTGGCGGCGTCCACATCGCAGGCGATGATCGCCTTGGCATCCTCCTGCTATGCGCGCTCCCTCAGTGGTTTCCTCGAGCTATGCAGAATTGCATACCTCCACCGAGCGCCGATACTTCCCTGATTCTTCCGACGACGCCTGAGACAGGAACAGTAGCATGCAAGACGCAAGCGGTATGACAATCTGCATCACTGCATCACAGCAATTTCAAGCTACGGGCTCCTTCCTTCTCTCTCTTCTCCTTGAGCTTGCTAGGTTGGCACAGAACACCAGCTAAACAACGGTGGATTTGTCAGGATGTCCACGTCCACATGCTGCAGATTTTGGACACGGCCACAAGCTCAGCAGGAGCACTCAGGCGCACTGCTTCACGGTCAGAAGGACAAAGGAGTCCGAGGCAACAGCTCCGAGCGGCAACAGCAAAGGGACTTAGCATCGCAAGCTTTCATCCCGCAGCAACCCGCCCGACTTTGCGTCTGAAGGTCCTGACGGCCATCGGAAGCCCCTCTTCAGGTGCCGCCAGAGCCACCAGCTCGGATTCACCCTCGCAAAGCTGAATCGTTCAATCAGCCCATCAGTGCGTCAGAGACCATGAAGAAGCATTTCAGGTGATGTCGTTGTCTGAACTCTTCGTGGCACGCGGTCTCAGATTGTCTCTGGCATTTTTCCGAAATAGGCCCTTGGCCCATAGTTGACGTTTTCGGGAGTTTGCGGCGAGATGTTTTGGGAAGCGGAGACAATGTTGCAAGGAGGCTTCGCTGATCGTTGAGTAAGCTTTCTGGGTTTTACAGCCACAGGTTTTTGGAGCTCCCGCGCCAAAATGCAATAGTCCTCAACTTGCGAGAGCACACTCAGACCCGGGGATTGTCCCTCAGCTCCCGCCGCAGTCCCGAATGTTGCGGTTTCTCCTGCATGTTGTGCTGTGCTTCAGGGACTGACTGCGACGCGAACTGCAGAGGCCGGAGCCCGAGCACGTTGAGCTTCTCGGGCACCCTTCACCTGTGAATTGGTCTCGGAGCTCCGACTAGCCAACGGCGTTGTCCCAACTGCCCGGATTACGATCCCCGACACGTCCAAGCTGCTGAGGTTCTTAATGCCGCCCGCTGAGTCGTGGAGGGTTTCGGGGTCTGACAGTGCCAGCTCTGGACCGATGGCAAGACTTTGGGGCAAGGCCCACATACCCCAGACGCTGCTTTGGGGCTCCCGGTTTCGTTTATTCAGGAAGGGCTTCCATGCAGGCTGCGCCCAGAACAATTCTCAGCCGGCAGTTGAAACCCAAGGGCACGAGATGTATCCGAACTCTGCATCGTACGTCTGTTGCACGTCGTGTCTATGCAATTTCCCGGCCTAGACCTGAAGCTGTGCATGCATCCGATCACCCCACAGCTGACGTTCAGCGATACGATGCCCCTGAGTTTCCTTCATCGCTCTTCAGCCTTGATGTTTGAAGAAGGCCTTCATAAGTGAGATTCTCGGGGCATATTAAGAATTAAGCCTTACTGCCTTTTATAGCTTTTACTGAGGGCATCCTGGAGATGCCCAGCGTGATGCCCTTCCTGGGTTTGGCCCGCTCGTCTTACTCGGCACGCCAGGGCGCCCAAGGGCGACGAGACTACTGAAGAGAAGACTAGGGCTTTCTTTGTAGGGCTCCGGAAGTCTCTGCGCTTCTGAGGCCGAGACTTGGTCCAGAAGTGGTCGGGCGCTCAGGGAGCCGAGTGGGAGCTGAGCCCACCAGGCCCCGAGGCCTCTTTTCCAGTCTGCCCCCGCCCGAGGCTCGAAGCCTTCGGCTCTTCTCTTTACGAGCTGGATGAGGCTCGTCATCCCGGCAAGCACGAAGGTCGAGACTGAAAGGAAGCACGCAAGCTTGCCTTGTTGGCCGTGGAAATCTGACCTATTTTGTGCAGATGCCAAGCTGCGGGCATTTCGATGCCAAAGTTATACCTTGATTTCTTGCCAATGCTCATGGATTTGTCTGTGCATGTCATGCGGCGCACGACCCATGTAAGCTAGGTAGACCTCTTCGTGCATATGTCTGTTGTGACACAAACATACCGGATCTAAGGTATGCTTCGTTGTGAAAGGCGCTCCCTCCCCATCGCAGGTATCCGAGGTCTTCTCCAAGTCCACTCTCCAAGGGCTGCTTTACGTCTCGGCACGTGCCTCCCTCGAGTCTTGGCAGGGCTAGCAGGGGATGATCTCGTACTGTTCCTGAAGGTAGGTTTCTCGCTCAGCTCTTGAATTGCAGTTTCTGCATTTGCATGGTTAGCCGTGCATCTCCATGCCTCCAAATGACCACTGCAAGTCCGCGGCCAGGCAGCACCTTGGACCCTGAAGAGGCCATAAGCTTCCGCAAGGTGCTGTCCGGCCCTCGGGCCCAGAGCTTCGAGGCATTGACGTTCGAACAACAGTTTTGCGGCAGAGCCTCAATGCAAGGTTTTTTTTGTTCATCGAGTTTTCTTTGATCCCTCGGTTCAGCTTGGGCCTCCGCCTGAAAAGGTTCTTCAACTCCTACATCAGCATCTTCACTTCCGGGAAGTGGGGTCATGTGCCATTGCATTCAAGAATTCTATTGAAGGCGTAATCTTGGTGCACCCTGTTCTACTAGGCCTTAGGCCTGGCGGCTCGTCTTGATGTAGCCTGTGGTTTTCGGACTAGAGCCGTAGCAGCTCTTCCCTATCAGAGATTGGCGACTCAGGTTTGGGCTGATCCTAAAGCGCCTGGCTCCTGGAAAGGCTGCAGAGCAGACTGAGCTGGCTAGTGCACGGGCAAAACCCCTCCACTTGACCTGTAAGTGCAGACATCGGCGCCTGCCCTGCTGTTTGGAATGCGCCGAGGCGTTGAGACTTGGAGGAACTCCTACTTCGGGCCTTACGAGCTCGGGCCCCGCATCAGGGTTCCCGCAACCAGGGTCGAAAGGAAGTGGTTTCCACGCATATTGTAGCCTCGAAAGTAGCATTACTTTCGGACTGCGAATTGAGATGTCGAAGTGATCCCCTGAGGTTCCTCTCTGAGACCATCATTGCAGCTATGTTGCCGCCTCGGAGCTGTTCGGATTTGTGCAGCTTCGGTTTCGGCGACGGCTGCTGAAGTGTTGGCACCTTTCAAAGGCCTTGTAAGTTGCGGCATCTGCTTAGGATCCCCATGTGTGAGCTGCAGCCTGACCTGGTCGGTGCCATGGTCGCCAGGGTCCAAGATTTTAGGGGAGCCTCGCAGAGCCATAGGCCGTAGACAGCTTGGCTTTGACAAGATCACGCACCCTGTCGCGAGCCGGACAAGCAAGCATAGCGCTAAGGCCCTCATCCACAGCTTCATCAGCCACAGTGAGACGAGGCCAGTGAGGGTTTCCAAGACAGAAGTCGCCCTCTGTAAGGACTCTGCTGCAACTTTTCTTGCTTTCTATACAACTTGGCACATCCGATCCGCTTTGTTTTGCCTGAACCGCAATGCTTCGTTTCAAGCGCTGAAAGCCCCAAAATCCGTAGATGACGGTCCAGGCTGCTGGAGCGGATCTGGACTGGGGGGCACGTGTCTGGAGCTCGGGGAGGGATTTGAATGCTGCATCCAGAGGACAGCTTCTTTGTGAGATCCTCGCAATTTCCGGCGGTTCATCCGGTTCCTGAATGTGTTGGTGTGGTCGTCTCGGTTAGTCTGCTTTGGTTCGGCCAAAGTCAGACAGACAGATACTGAGGGAACAGTCGCCGCAGAGCCACCACAGACTACTCTGACCTCTAGCCTGCGCTGGCCTTCAGCTATAAGGCCATGGCTATGTAAACGTCTGGTCTTGCCCTCAGCATGTCTTCATGCTCAAGCTCGCTCTGGCATTGTGAGACTGGGAGCAGCCATGCTTCTTTGAACTGGCTTCCCTTATCCTGCGACTGTGCTGTGGGTGCTTCAATGGACTGGACTGGGACATCCACGCAAAAATTAAATGTCCAGCCTCTTGTCCGTGTGCAAAGGCTGATCAATCCCGAGTGCAGAAGGCTGCCATAGAGCGCATGGCGGAGGCATGGCCTCGGGAACATTGCACCCAGCGTTATGGCAAGTTGGTGTGTGAAACATAGGCGGCTCACACCAGCACGATGTTGAACAGTATGTGCTCTGCGGATCCTCTGCGACTATGATAGGCAAAGCAGCCCACCCAAAAGACGACCAGATACTCGAAATCTAAGACTCTGACCTATCAGTCGAATTCCTACGAATCTCCACAGAAGAGAGCACATGTTCAGCGAGAGATCGCCTAAAAAAGCTTAACCTGCAGGAGGTAGCGCACACGGGCATCACGCCGACTCAGTCCAAGGAGGAGTGGCAGGGACCCGGGCTTTGAGGCGTGCTCCGGGCTCCTGCAGTTTTCACGGGGATTGTGTAGGCCTCCGAGCCTTCGTTGCATCTAGCTTCGCTCTCAGTCGTCCAGGCTTTTGCTGAGGTCGAGGCTTCGGGCTTTGTTTGACGTTGGGTCAGAGATGGCCTTACCAGGAGCTCCCGCACCAGATGGCCAAAGGGTGGGAGCGCCATGAAGACCTGGCCCGCCCAGCCACAGTTACCCTCCTGGGAAGCTGCAAGCATGGCAGGCAGAGGGGCCGAGTAGTCATGTGGCTGATGGCCTGGGTGTGGGACTGGGGTCGGTTTGACGAAATCCGCACCAAGCAGGATCACCGGTCCTGAGGCTGTGTTGTTGCACCTCAGCTGGGGCAGTCCGACAGTTTGGCGCTTCTGCTGCAAGCATGGTACGTCCACATGCATGACATTTTCACGAACCGTCACGGCCGTGTTCGAAGGTCACTGTATGGACCGCATCTGCAGCTCGCCAGGTCGTGGCACAGGGGATGGTCTTGCGCATTGCTCGGCGCTTACGTCGTCGCATCACGCCCGGACACAACCAGACTGCCCGCTGC